TAAGGAAAATTTCGGTGTTTTAGCCAGTCATGTCTTAGAATCCGAGATATCTCGCTTATTTTAAACGATATCAAAAAAATTCTCTAATAGGTTGCAACTACCTATCCTGAGTTCACTCTGTGAAAATATTGACTCTGCAGCTTTATAGATCAGAAAATTACGCCTACACTAAAATAACGCTTTATAGGTGGGATCGTGACACCCAAAAGTGTAAAAATTTGCCCGGAGCGCAGAAGTAGAGTCCATCTGATTACCTAAATAACGTACAAGACCCCCAACGTCATATAAAATGCCCTTAAATGATTGCTAAGTCTGTGCACAGGGCCTAACGGATTTTGAAAAAAGCATGCTGGTCTTCCCTTAATAAATCACAGGCTGGCCTGAGACTGAGATCCATTGCGTACATGAGTTGTATTGATACTGATGGTTGGCCAGAATGAACCAATGAAAAAGTGCGTTTTATCCACGTATGTACTTCCGTTGGCAAATCAAGATGGCAGCCTACATACAGCTTGTTCTCCTCTGGGGATTTATAGCATTGCTAACTGCTTCGGTGCTCGCCGAAACGAAAAAGAAAGAGGTACACATTGTGTTATTTGGCAGAGATTTAAACAGAATAAGCGGCTTGCTTTTATACGACTTCACCATGGTTTGACAGACAAGATGAGGGGAACAGCATTAGGAACACCGGCTAACTACTCTCAGCTCTGCCTGCACCCTGCACGATAATACAGTAACTTGAGTAACAAACAATCAACAAACTGGAATCTTGGAAGCTTAGCTTTATTATACTTGGACTCTACAGTCTACTGCTAACGCTTCTCTTCAATGCTCTAGTTCTAGCACATATTCACATCCAAAAGCAAAATGAGATGCAGATGACCGGAGACCGATAAAGGCGACTCTCATTGATGATTGATGATATGTAACTCGGTGGTGTATTTTTCCAGGAACAGTAGCGTAGGGCCTGAGGCAATTCAATTGTATATTGTCCAGATGTTTTTATTTACTCACACTTTGCTTGGACTTGGATTCACCCGTCTCATGGACCCGTTTTACATACTTTTTTCTGGTAGTATTTTGCTTGCTGAACATGAATATGGCCTTCATTTTTGCCGCAAATCAATAGTTATTGAGTTATTTATTGGTGTTTGAAAAGGGAAATAGAAGCTAATATTTATTTGACTTGAATTTTAACAACATGGGGGGGTCCATGGCATCCCCCCTCCCCCGCATTTCAGAATAATTTGATGTTTTGGCTATTAAGATTTATATGCAAGGTTTTTAGTGGCCTTTTAATGTGTTCTTCAGAGTTTTGAATACCATTGTGTGCAGATAAAAAGAACAATTTGAGTGCAAAACTTTCGGAAATTGACCTATATTATCCCCTTTCGAACCCCAGGTCATTCATAACAACAAGAGGGTCTAAAAAGGTTTTTCGAATGGGAGTAACTACTCGTAAAGTCTTATCAGCTTATGAGAGGGGGTTATTCTCATGTGTTCGTAACACTTTATAAATAGAAAGCTATCAAAGAACAGAGCGTTATTTTCATCATCGATTAACACACTCCTGCGGTATTCATGGCGAAAAATGTTTCCAGGCGCATGCGCTGTACACCAACAGTACACACTGAGTGACCCAGCGGTCTACCCGGAACGTCTGACGTAATCAGACACTGATAACATTCGCATCTCAGCACAAACGCAGGACAAGAGTTAATTACAAAACCATACTTTTATTAGGTCAGGGGGCATGCACCCCTGAAACCCCCTTTGTTAAAAGCAACTAAAATATTACTGCTCATAATTTTGTACTGAAAAAGGTTATTCGAATGGGAGTAACCAGGGTTGGTGATTTTTTTGATTTTTTAAATGGAAGAGGCTAGAGAGACCAGGATCCTGGTCTGTCTAGCCTGTGAGTCTAGAGAGACCAGGATCCTGGTCTGTCTAGCCTGTGAGTCTAGAGAGACCAGGATCCTGGTCTGGTGTGGTCTATTGTCTCTAAAGAGACCAGGATCGTGGTCTGGTGTGGCCTATTGTTAT